TCTCCCTCTGACCCTCCTCCCTCTCATGCTTTCTCTCACTCATTCTCTCTCTCTCAAATAAATAAATAAAATCTTAAAAAAAAAAAGATAAAAAAAAATAAACCCCCCCAAAACGAAACAAAAAACCCCAGGGTGTACGGCAGGCCCCCAGCGAGTGTTGGTGGGATACCATGTAGGGTCGGGTGCGTGCATGTGGGCCTCAGCGCGGCGGCGGGCCTGGGGGCTCCCACCTCATCAGGTGCCGGGTAGAGAGCCAGCAGGGCGCGGGGTCGATGCTGCCGCCGCGAGGCCTCATTCCGCCGGTCCACATCCTCAGGGGCTGTGCGCTCCAGCAGCCACGGCAGCAGTGAGTCAGCGGCCAAGTTCCTCAGGTCAAAGATGCCGGAGGCACCGCTGCTCCGCGGGGTGTCCTCTGGGGAACCTGAGGAGTGCCGGGGGTCATCCTGCCGGCGAGGAGGCAAAAACACGGAGCGCCGGCTGGATGCACCTTCAATCCCGCTCCCGTGAGACTGTCCCCATGCCCAACGCGTAGATGGGAAAGCTGAGGCCCAGGGGGTGGGGGGGGGTCACCGCTACAAGGGTCACTTTGAGGCTTTGCTGAGCCTCTTTCTAGAACCTTCTGCCTGGGAGGGCGCCCCTCCTTTACCACCGTTGGGGGAGGCTCCTCCTGGGGCCAAGGTAAGGACATGTGTGGGCTGGGCCAGTGAGAACCTTCCCTGGGGCTTTGCTCCCTGTCAACAGGGGAGGGAGAGTTCTTCCCAAGGGGACTGTCGCCGGCTCAGGGTAACCTGCCTGGCCTCCCTGACCCAGCTATATGGTCAGAGGCAGACCACCCTGGTTCAAAGCCCCACTCAGCTCTGTGACCCTGTGTCCCCGAACCCAGCTCGAAGGGCCTCAGGATCCTCATCTACATCTAAAACTAGTAACAATGGAAGCGGTATCAGTAACTCTTGGTAGGATTATCGTGGGCATAAAGCAGGAGCCCAGTGAATACTGGCTCAGAACCCAGTGGGCCAGTGAAGCTCCTCTAATCACCTTGCTGTGCCTCAGTTTCTTTATCTGCAAAACGGGTGTAGCCTTGCCTCCCAGGATGAAAGATGAGGACAAGTATAAAGCCTTTAGTACACACTAAGCATGTGTGTTCATAATCATGACCCTTAACTTTTAACTCACGGGGCTGACACATTTCCTTTTGGGTTCAAGGCCGTTTGGGTCACTTCCCGTCACATGTGACCGAGAGCTGGGGCCAGAGCCCACACACTCCTATGGTGACGCGTGCCCGGGGCTCCCTCACCGAGTCCTCTGGGCCGGACCTCTCATCCCCAGAAGTGTCCTGCTCAAAGACCTGGCGAGTGAGGTCCTTCTGCCGCTCTCGCTGCATCTCCGTGGTGATGGGGCTATACGCCGCACTCAGATGCTGGTACCTAGGAGGAGGCAGGGCTGGGTGGGTAGCAGGGATGAAGGCACCCCACAGGTCCATGTGATGCCTGCCAGGCCTTCCACCCTCCCTGTGATCCACCAGAGAAGTCCAGCTGCCCTTGCAGTGACAGTGGGCAGATAAGCAGGAGGACTGGCCCAATGGGCTCAGACCTGGCCTCTTGACCCTCTGCCTGGAGCTGCCCCCGAGCCAGACCCACCTCCTGTGAGCGATGATCCAATCCTCTGTATACATCTCCACTGCGGCCCTCACCTGGGCATCCAGCTTTCTGCACAAAATAAAATCAGGGTAAACAGAGGCAGGGCATGGTGTTCATCTGTCCAGTGGCCTGAGGTAGGGCCTGCCCTTCTGCCCGTTTTGGAGATGTGGAGACAGAAGCTCAGAGAGAGAGGGTAACTTGCCCAAGGTTACACAGCCAAGCCAGGAGCTGAACTTGGGGCTGTGGCGAGCTTGATGGAAGGGGGATGTGGATGAGGGGCAGGCATGGAGGCAGTCCGGAGTCACAGACAAGGAGGGCGTGGGGCTGAACCCACCCATCCTCAGGGATCCCGGGCTCTGTGGTCCGGCATTCCCGGGGCTGTAGCAGGAGCTCCAGGTCGTCGGCTGGAAACTCAGCCAGGTCCCGGAGGGGCCCAGGCTCGGCGTCTGGTGGCCGGCTCAGGAGCACATCCTCGAAGTCCAGGGGCTCAATGACTTCAGTCAGTGGGACCTGGGTTGGAGCAAGGGGACTGTGGGCCCTGCCCTGGGGGTTGAGGAAGGGGGTGGGGGGGACGTGGGCTTGGGCTCGAGCAAGAGGGCGGTGGGAGCCATGGAGGGTGTTGGAGCTGTGAGGAGCCAGGGCAGACAGTGATCTCAGACTCTCTACCCCCATCCCAGCATGGCCTGCCCTGCCCCTCTTTCCAGGCAGGAAATCACACCCCTGTGCCTGGAGGGGCAGGGTTATGCTGGAAGGAAAGGCAAGCTGGCTGCTGCGAAGAAAGACAATTCCTCAGGCCCCACTCCCTCTCCGCTGCAGCTGGAAGTACCTCCCATACCCACCCCCCAATCTGGGTGGTCCCGGCAGCAGGAGGTGGGGCGGCATCAGGCTGACCACCCACGGCGCTGCCCCCCCCAAACCCCTCAGCAGCTGCAGAGAGAGGGGACTACCCTCCCCACCCACAGGGAAAGAGGAGTGGGGACAGTCCCACCCAGGACAGGGCACTAGTGGGAGGGGTGAGTGGGACCAGGCCCGGGCAGAGCGGAACCCCACATCTGCTAGAGAGCAGGGTCCTGGAGGGGAGCACCTCCCAAACACGTACCCCCAGAAAGCTGCTGCCGCGTCTGCTGGAGTGCGGAGAGCCACTGCGCTCCCGGGACACCTGTTTCCGCACCTCCGCAGCCACTGTCCTGCGGGGAAAGGGAAGGGGCCACTGAGGACATGACAACTTGGGCGATGTGGCCCTGGGAACTCCACTTCCGGCCAATAAATTCATTCTCCAAGAGGAAAATCCAGGCTGTGGAAGGAAAAACCCAGGCCACGGACCAGGAGAACCTGGACTTCAGAATCTGCAGAGCTCAGCCTCGGGGCCCCAGGGCTATGGTTGATACAGAGGCCCCAGGACCCCCCAAGCTGGGCCTGGGGCCCTTCCAACCCCCCACCCCCCCACACCGGCCAAGCACAGATGGAAGGATTTGCTCCCGGCAGGGCATGAGGGTCACAGATCCTTCTTTATCCCTGATGCCCAGCAATGGGTGTGAGTCCTGGCTGGTCAGCCCCCTGGTCCCTGGCCTCGGCTTCCTCATCTGGGGGACCTCCACCCACCCTGTCCCATCCTTGCTATGGGGCTTTGGACAAGTTACTCCTCCCTCTGAGCCTCAGTTCACCCACCTGAGCGTGTGTTAAGAGACCAGCATGATTCACAGAGCACACCCAGTAACCAAGATCTGGGCTATGGCCTTCCTGGGCCACCTTCACCTGTGCTGGCCTTCCAAGTCAGGGAGGAGGAGGGTGAAGGGGCAAGACCCACAGGGGAGGGGGCCAGCACAGGAATCTGGGACTTGGTACGCCCAGGCACTCAATTCCTTCAGCTGAGCTTGGAAGGAGGGGAAGGAGAGAGAGCCGCACAGTTATCTGAGGAAGAGGATTCCAGGCAAAGGGTACAGCAAGTGCAAAGACCCTGTGGCTGGGCTCTGTGCTCCAAGCATGGAGACTCCTGCTTCCCGGGGTCTCTATGACGGCAGGAATAGGGCTGTGTGGTCCCCATGCAGGCCCCAGCACCAGCCCCACACACAGTAGGTACTCAATAAATTTTTCTTGAGGGGAATGAATCCCTCCCCATTTCCCTCCTGCTCCAACTTGCCAAAATCCACCGTGAGTTAGGAGAAGCCCCAGAAATTTTAGCTGTGTGGCTTTGGGCAGATGGGATACCCTTTCTGGGCCTCAATCTCTCTTTTTTTAAATTTATTATTATTATTATTATTTAAGATTTTATTTATTTATTTGACAGAGAGAGACACAGCAAGAGAGGGAACACAAGCAGGGGGAGTGGGAGAGGGAGAAGCAGACTCCCCGCTGAGCAGAGAGCCCGATGCGGGGCTCGATCCTAGGACCCTGAGATCATGACCTGAGCTGAAGGCAGACGCTTAACAACTGAGCCACCCAGGAGCCCCTGGGCCTCAATCCCTCTTAAAATTGAGAAGGCAATTGCCTGGGTATTTGGGCCTTGCTCCCATTTTCCACTTTTGTGCTTGGAAGTTTTCATAATGAAAAGTTGTACCCCCCCGGAAGTACTATGTTGATCACAAACCACGGACCACCGATGAGATGAATGTGTGCGGTGGGCTCAGGGAAGACAGGTGGGGGTAGGGGAGACTGGGACCAACGGGGGTCATCTGGAAGCCTCTGAATTCAAATCCGTATAGGTCAGGGGCGCCTGGGTGGCTCAGTTGTTAAGCATCTGCCTTCGGCTCAGGTCATGATCCCAGGGTCCTGGGATCAAGCCCCACAACGGGCTCTCTGCTCTGCAGGAAGCCTGCTTCTCCCTCTCCCACTCCCCCTGCTTGTGTTCCCTCTCTCGCTGTGTCTCTCTCTGTCAAATAAATTAAAAAAAAAAAAAATCCATCAAACAAAACTTGACCATGACCCTGACCCATCATGGGGGCCTCCAGTTGAGATCTCAGCCTCACTCCTCTGCCCCTGTATTCTATTTACTTTCTCTCTCAACTGTCCCAGAGTCTTGCTTCTATTGTTCGGGGGTGTGGAGGGAGCTGATGGAGGATCTTCTAGGAAATTCAAAGGGTGTTCCAAATGAGCTGTTTGTCCTCAAATTCCCAAAGTTGGGGCCGCCTCCTCTGGAAGCCTGGGCACACAGGGTCTTGGGGGATGATTTATGAAAATGCTGGGACCAGGGCACCAACAGAGCAGGGAGAGGGGAGGAGGGACAGCCAGGACTCCCACTTCATTTTGTCTTTGGCCTTGGAGAGATGGCCCCCGAGTGGGTCGGTCCTCAACACTGTGGCCATGGGAGCCACTTTCCTGTGTCACAGGGCTCTGCACTTGGGCCTGGGCAAGCATGGATGAGTATCATCCCCTCTCTGGACCTCTGTACTGTACAATACAGTACCCACACCTTATCGAACTGTTCTGAGTATAAGGCTCGGCACACAGTAAGTGCTCAGTTAAGGCTTGCTGTCACTAAGTTGCCTTAAAAGGATCCTGGGAAACTGGAATTTCTGGCCCTGCTTTTTATGCTGGGCCAGAAGAGGAGTGAGGCTCAGAAAAGGGCGGGTCGGGAGGCCTCTGGGGTTAGAGAGCCGAATGCGGTAGGTGCCAAGAATCAAACCCCTGTGGGCCAGAAGTCAGAGTCTGTGCCCCCCAGCACGTGGTGTTCCACGTTGCCCATGCTGGGGAACAGGACCAAAAACAGGGGCTCCAAAACCTGCCTCTCCCATGTCCACGCTCAGCTCCCCCAGTGACAGTGGTACAGTGGTCCCATCCAGCCTCCAGGTTTCAGGACCACCCAAACAAGGACAATCCTTGGGTCCATTCTGTGTGGCACCTGCCTCCTTTGCATGCCCACGTGGTGTCTTGCAGGCATGCAGCCTGACCATAACCTGCCCTCCTGCCATCCTCCCCGTCTCCCTAAGGGCTGCCCCGCCCTCTGGGGATGCTCAGGACCCCCAATTCAACGCCTGGGAGTCATCCCCAACTCCTCTCTTTCTCACGCCCACATCAGATCTGCTTCAGACACCCCCACGGAGCACATCTCTTAAAAGGAGGCAAAATGTTGAGCTGAATATACTGGTTTTCCTCAGGAAGTGACCTCAGGATTGCAATGAGAGACACCGCAAAGATCAGGTGGTGGGTTACAGCTACTGCTGAGACAAGACCTCCTAAGGTGAAAGTCAACAATCCTACAGAGACACTCAGAGGAGAAAGATGAAGCAGTGGCATCACTGGGAATTCATGTGAGACTGTGGACCTCACCCCAGGGCTGGTCGGATTAACAGAAATCTATCCCCACAGGGGAGGAGGAGATAAAACCGGAAACGAGAATGGCATAAGCCTCTGACGCTGCGTGTTCCCACTTGAGTAAAAAAGTGAGGGAAGACTATGAATCCATATAAAACCATAAAGAGATTCCTCTTTATACCCCACCCTAGCCCTCCTGGACTGGCAGAACATTTTACAGACAAATGATCTGCCTGCCAGCGACAGGAACTCTCATCTGCTGCTGGGGGAACCCCTTTCGACAACCGTCTGCAATGACCAAGCAAAGTTGAAGATAAGCCAATCCAGCAATTCCACGCAGAGGCGTAGATGCTCAGGAGGCTGAGAATGTTCACGGCAGCCCCGGTCATGACAACCCCAAAGTGAAAAGACGCACATGTTTTTTGACCGAAGATAGAGACTGTGCGCGGGCGGGAGGAATAGTATGCAGCAATGAAAAAGGATGCACCCGCCCATCGACGGCACAGACAAGCCCTCCTCCTCCTGACATTATGTCGGGTGAGAGACTCTGGGCACACAGCCTCGACACCCCATGTGATTCCATTGATAAGATGTTCTAAGCAGGCAAAAGTAACCCGTGGAGCACAGGGAACCAGCCCGGCTGGAGAAACCATAACGCAAGTGAGGAAGTGGGGGCAGCTGCCATCAGCATGGCAATTCCCTGGGGGACGGAACTGGGTGCAGATCAGGAGGGGCGGCTAGGTTGGGTGGCCCAGGAAATAGAGACTGCCTTCATCTCTGCCTTTGACCCCAGTGACTTTTTCCCCTGGTATTTATTGTCTTCTTGTTGTTGTTTTGTGTTTTCATTTTTTTTAGGATTTTATTTATTTATTTGAGACAGAGAGAGCGCACAAAAGAGCAAGAGAGAGAGCGCACGAGCAGGGGGAGGGAGAGGGGCAGAGGGAGGAGAAACAGGCTCCCCACTGAGCAGGGAGCCGGGTGCCGGGCTTGATCCCAGGACCCCGGGATCATGACCTGAGCTGAAGGCAGATGCTTAACCGGCTGAGCCACCCGGATACCCCTGCTTTTTAATTTTTTTTTTTTAAGATGTTATTTATTTATTTGAGACAGAGAGAATGAGAAACAGAGCATGATGGGGGGAGGGTCAGAGGGAGAAGCAGACTCCCCGCCGAGCAGGGAGCCCGATGCGGGACTCGATCCCGGGACTCCAGGATCATGACCTGAGCCGAAGGCAGTCGCTTAACCAACTGAGCCACCCAGGCACCCTGCTTTTTAATTTTTTTAAAAGTAATCTCTACCCCCAATGTGGGGCTCGAACCCATGACCCCGAGATCAAGAGTCCCGTGCTCCACTGACTGAGCCGGCCAGGCGCCCCCTTGGCATTGGTTCTATAACTAACTACTATTTAAACTTTGCATTTTTCTAGATGCATGTCAGATGTCACCATTTTTTTAAAGGTAGAAAGTAACAATACGTGTGTGTGCTCACGTTTGCAGATGTATTGGGGGACAGGGGTGGGAGGGAGACATTTCCTTGAAATCCCAGAGGCACCTTTGGAATTTGGTCAATACATGTCTCTTTGCCCTCCCACGCCTCCAATGAAATCACTATTTCCTTGAGTGAGAAATGCCACCTGCCCCGCAGGAGACAGCTGGGGGGCCGAATGAAGATGCCGCTATCAGATGCCTGGAAGAACGGGGGATATGTGGGGGCAGGAAGAGACACGGTTTCTGAGATTGTTCTGAAGCCTGGGGCCACACACTCCTGGGCTCACTTCCCCACAAGAGACACTCGACAGTCACTGGACTGTGAGTCCAGCTTTCTATAGTTATACCTATGTCACCAGGCTCTGGTGACAAATGGCATTCCCACTGGGGACCAGCCAGCCATAAACATATTATAAGCGCTGGCCATTATCACCATTCCATATTGTGTTTTACTTTAAACAGTATAAGTGAAAAAATGAACAAGTTATACTGCATACAGTAATGTTTGTCCATGTTATTTACTTTTAGTTTTAAGTTGTCCCCCCAAATCTTTGTGTGTTTTTTTTAAAGAATCTGTTCATTAGGAAACTGGGGGACTGTTTAACTTTTGGGTCAATATGGCATTGTGGAATGAATGACTGAATGATTGAATAGATGAATATAGGCCCAGATCTGAGCATGTAGACACCTGGGTGTCCACTAGGCTGCTCTGGAGGCCCTGGCAAAGGATGGCTAGAAGACGTGAGCCTTTTGCTTGTGGTTCACTGGGGCCCCAGGATCATTCTCTGCTCTTTTTACCCTGGGCTCTGTAGCATCTGTTCCCCAGGGCAGGACCCAGGACCTCTCTTTTTCACTGGAGTGGAAGCCAGGACCCAAGAACACAGAGACTGAGTGGCAAAGAAACGCGTTCAGAGAAGCCAAAGGTCCAAGACAGAGAGGCAATTTGGGAACATAAAGATAACAGAACATAAAAATTGCCTGACTACTATGCTCCAAACACATGGTCACATCCATATATTCACAACTCTTCATGGCTCCCACCTCACTCAGGATACAAGTTAAGGTCCTCCCCACAACCCACAAGACCCCGCACGATCTGCTCCCACTGTCCCCTTCCTCACTCTGCTCCAAACTGGCTGGCCTCCTCAGATGACCTGTAAATACACTATGCCTCCTCCTGCCTCAGGGCCTTTGCACTTGCCTTTCCCTGTGTTTGGATTGCTTTTCCCCCACATATGGGCACGGATGCCTCCTTCCCCTCCTTCAGAACTTTGCTCAATTGTCACCTTATCATCCTGGCCTTCCTGATCTGCTTCTCATATCTAAAATGGCCCCCATTGTCCCCATCTCCTTTCCCTACCTTGCGTGTCCCCATAGCACTGGCACTTATCATTAATACATAATCTATTTTATTGTGCTACTCCTCTGTCTACCCCATTGTATCTGCCACCAAGGGTGGGATCTTTTCTTGTGTCTCCATCAGGCCAGCTCTGGACCCACAGGGCGCTCTTTCACTTGGGCGCGGCCAGCACAGGTTCCCTGTAGAGAGGACCCCTGGGCAGACTCTGGCAACGGACGCAAAGATGGGGGAGAGGCTCTTCAGCCCCAGTCTGACCTCCCCCTCCCGGGCTGAGTCTCTTACAATCTCCAGTGGCCACGGAAATGGATCCCCCAGCGCCTGGCGCCTGTCCCCTCCCCCGTCTGCCCACCAGCTGGTTGGGTCCCCAGCCCCCACTCCCTCCATTCAATCACCCATCCATCTCCAGCGCGTCCAGCCGCCGCTGGGAGAGCCTGAAGCAGGGCTGGGGGGGTGGCGGGGGAGGGCATCCACAGCTGTCCCCTGCTCCCCAGACAGCTGGGCACGGGACCTTGGCAGCGGGGAAGAGCACGGGAAACTTCCCGAGGGGCCTCAAAGGCCTCCAAGAGCACCATCCCTGTTCCCAAATCCCGGTTCCAGGAGCATCCCAGCCCCGCGCCAGGAAAGAGGATGGGTCGCGAAGGCCCCTCCCGCTCCCATGCCCTCGGGCTCGGGGACCCGGGAAGGACCGGGGGGTGGCGAGGGACGCGGAGGGCTCCCGGTCCCCGCTCTCCCTGAGCCGCCGCCTCCAGGAAGGCCCCCGGACACGCCCCCACGCGTCCCCCCACCCC